CCCCCGGGGGGGGTTTTTTTAGCAGGCCGGCGTTCGGCTGCCGCCAGTTTGCGCCCGGCGGATGATCGGCTCTGATCGCTTTCAAGAGCGTACCGTGGGAGGAAGAAAAGAGTCATCCCGGCTAGTGTTTCCGCCCGGTTTCGAACCGGGGACCTTTCGCGTGTTAGGCGAACGTGATAACCACTACACTACGGAAACGCCGCTTGCTACGTTTTTGCAGCAGCCCTAGTAATGGCGTCCCGCCCCGCTCCCCTCCGCTCCTCCCGGCGGCGACCTTCTTGTCTCAGTCCTGCGTCACGCCGGTGCCCAAAGCACAGGACCATGCTCGCCCGGGGACCACGCTCGCCCGTGGACCACAGGACCATGACCTGTCCGTGCTGGCAGCTCCCCAAACACCCCCCGGGGCGCCCCGCAGCCTTCCTCCGCCAAGGGCCTCTGCTCCCCACCGCAGTGCCAGCAGGTCACCCCCAAGCTGCGAGGTGCTCCAGGGATGGCATCCACTGCCCCTTCTCCCCGCACACCAGGAATAACAGCACTGGTGTGAACGAGAGACTTTACGATTGTGATCTTCCCTAGAATACTGCAATTGATTTTCAACATATCTGTAAATAAAAAGCCATACCCTCGGTTAATATTTCACACCAAAGTGTCGTTCTGAAACACTATTGCTTACAATGCCAAATCTACCTCCTGCTGTGGTTACAGAGGCTGGAAGGACTACTTTGCTGGGAATGAAGCACAGACAAGGAGAAAAATACCAACAAAAGGAGCTGAAAAGCCCAGGGAAACGAGAGGAGCAGACTACGACAGAGATCTTTGCCTGCTGGCGCCGGCAAATGCAGGCGGGATGAGCAGGACAAATCAGGCAGGGCTGCCAAGGAGAGGTGTAAAGCACCGCGGCTCCTGCAGGAACAAAGCAGGGCAGTTTCAGCGTGCGTTTATCAGAACTCAGAATGAGACAGCCCCAGCCAAAGAGGAGAAAGGGAGCCGTTTGGCACTGCTCGCCTTGCCGGGCAGGACCATAATAAAGCAGCCAGCGAGAGCATGCAGGCAAGGGGAGCTGAACACGGGGCGCGTTACGTCGGGCAGCACCTCCTCTGCAGGCCTCTCGCTACAGCTGGAGCTTGGAAAATGAGGAAATGACTAATCCTCCTGGATTTTCTAGTACACCAGGCACTGAAATGCCTGATCTTGGAAGGAGCTATAGAAGGGAACTTAGCTTTGCCACCCTTTGCAAAGGGAAACACAAGCCAAACCCAATCGGTGGGAGGAGGAGTAAGAAAAGCCAAGAGAAATGAAACAGGAAAGACTCCAGAAGAAAGCAGTGACGCGGAAGGGAAAGGGGAAACAGAAGAAAGTTGGAAGCAAGCAGCGACAATATTCTGTTGAGTTTGGCAGTGGCAGCTGCAAGATTTCTTAACACTACTGCTGTCATCATGCAGAGGTTTCTAATAGCCTAAATGCAAGGATATGTGGGTAAGAGGTGCCACAAAAGAGCATCTGGGAAAAACGAGCATCCTTACTAGCTCTTTTCATGCTTGCAACATCTCTCAGGTCCACGTGGAAAAACACTTGTGGGAATGCACTTGTGTTCTTAGTGGCACACCATGATCACAAGATCGTTGTGCACGACTTGTAGCACCCCAGCGTGAAAAGGTTGACATCGCAGCCGCATCTCTGCCCAATCGCATACAATATTAATAACACCCATTTTGTTCCTGCAAGGTCTTCAGCAGTCCCCGAGGATTAAATTTTAATTGTGAATAAACTAATGAAACACAAAATACAAATTAACTAATGAATATATATTATTATAGATATAGTAATATTTTCAGTCATAGCTTGACAAGTAGTTAAAGAGGGAAGGGCCTGTTTAGGTAACACGCTATAACCTTCTCCGAGGAGCTGGACGGTCTCAGCTCTCGCAGCTGCTGAAGTTGCCTGGCCTGTGAAAGGGCCAAATATCTTTCCAGTATTTTTTCAACAGAACGCACATAATTTAAATGTACATGAAGTGCTTTTTCCTGACGTCCGTTACCTGAGACATCCCCAAACAGACTACCTTGACCAAGGGGAGATGCCGGTGTTGCCATGGAGACTGGGGTGGAAGAGTACTTGTCCAGTGTTACTGTATTTTGTTTGATTCCTGGAGGTACCCAAAAGAGCGTGGGATTGTCACGTCCCGGGGAGATAGGGAGGCTGTGTGGAAGAATGTCTATGACAATGACCTGAAGATGGAAAGTAGTGAGCAGACAATGATTCTTACTGAGGCACTGCTTGATCCACCGGCTAACCGAGAAAAAATGGCAGAGCTCTTCCCTGAGCACGCTGCTGTACCAGCTCTATGTGTCTATCCAGGCTGTGCTCACACCCTGTGCTTCAGGTCTCAGCACAGGCTGTGTGATGGACTCCCGTTACGGTGTCACCCACAGTGTACCAACCTTTGAATGCTCCTGCTTGCCCCGTGGTATTCTCCAGCTTGACCTGGACAGCTGTGATCTTACAGAGCACCTAACATGGATTCTGAAAGAAAGTGGCGCTTCACAAGTCACCACAGCTGAGGAGCTGCCTGTACAAGGCATAAAAGAAAAATGATGTTATGTGTGCCTGACCCTCGAGGAAGAGATGACTAAGAATTCTAGTGAGGTGGAAAAAAGTCACCATCTTCCTGGTGGCCATGAAATTATGGTTCAGAATCAAAGGTTTCATTGTCCTGAAACCCTCTTTCACTTTCCTAATGCTGGCATAGAGTCACCAGGGATTGACAAGCTCTACTCCAGTTCTATCATGAATGAATCATCATCATGATGTTGGCATAAGGAGTTGCTTCCGCTCCAGTCCTTTCTGGTGGTTTCAGCCTCTTCCCTGGAATTAAGCAGAATGCTTAAACAAGGAGATAGTCTGCATGGTCCCAGGTGGAGTTAAGGTGAAAGTCAGTGATCCTCCTAATAGGAAGTTTTCAGTTTGGACAGAAGGCACCTCGCTTCCCTGAGTGTCTTCCAGCTGATGCAGATTACCGTGACAGTACAGGGAGGCCGAGCCTAACATGGTGCACAGAAAATGTTTCTAAAGTACATGTGATTTTATAACCAATTTTACTTAACACTTCATGGAAAAGAACCTGAGATTACAGCTACTTGGAAGCTAGTGTCTAGGGGGAAGTCTGTGTCCGTAGCATGCCCTTTGACAGTCCAATAAAAATCATAACATCTGGCATGGTTACTTCCTTCTTAGTCCAAGAATACATCTTTCTGAAGAGGTGGAAAATATGTTTTTAAAGAGGTTCTTTACCAGAACAATGCTGTACAGTATATGTACAACTAAAGTTAGAAAGACCGAGAGCTCTATGCTATTGCTTCATACTCCATTGCACCTGCAAAACCGTGCAACCTTGAAACGCTTTGCTTTTCCCTGGAAATCTCAGGGTCAAAAAGCAAACACTCCAAAACCGTTCTGAGGAACATGATGCAGCGTCCGAGGCGAGCGCTCCAGGGAGCAGGTACCGTGCGGGGAGAATACACCTTTCACAGAGAGAGATCATGGAAGAGACTCTTCCAACAGAGCACTGGGGGCTGGCGCAGCCCTGCTTCAGGGGAACAGGAGGGGAGTTTCTGGGCCTAGTTCCTCACCCAGGGGTCCTCGAATGAGACGGGCAGGGCCTGAACGGGGGCCCGGGCCCTAAGCC